TAGGAATTTGTCCAGATTCACAGGGTTATTCTGTACATAGTTTCAAGAACCGTTATGTTTGATTTGAAAGTTATTTGTGGACAAAGTAGACACAATTTATGGATAACAACTTTTTTAATACTGTGAAAAGCGACGTTTTGGTATAGATCCTTATACCATTGTTAAGCAAGGTATATATATACAACAGTATAAGAATCTGGACCGAAATGTTGCCTTTACAGTAAGTAATGAAGTTGTTATCCAACAAGTTACATGTGGAAGTGAAGCAAACTTCGTCACACTGCTGATGGCTAGCCAACATTCAATGGAATAAGGAACAAAGTGTAAAGTCCCCCTGATGACTAAGGTGTGTGGGTGTGTGGGTGTGTGGGTGTGTGGGTGTGTGGGTGTGTGTGGGTGTGTGTGGGGTGTGTGTGGGGTGTGTGTGTAAAGGGTGTGTGTTGTGTGGGTGTGTGTGGGGTTGTGTGTGTGGGGTGTGTGTGTGTGTGTGTGGGGGGGGGGGGTGGGGGGGGGGGGGGGTTGTGTGGGTGTGGGGTTGTGTGGGTGGGTGTGGGGTGTGTGGGTGGGTGTGTGTGGAGTTGTGTGGGTGTGTGTGGGGTGTGTGGGTGTGTGGGTGTGTGTGGGGTTGTGTGGGGTGTGTGGAGTTGTGTGGGTGTGTGTTGGGTGTGTGTGGGGTGTGTGTGTGTGGGGGTGTGTGTGTGTGTATGGGTGTGTGTGGGGGTGTGTGTGTAAAGGGGGTGGGTTGTGTGTGTGTGTGTGTGGGGTTGTGTGTGTGTGTGTGTGTGTTGGGGGGGGGGGGTTGTGTGGGTGTGTGGGTGTGGGGTGTGTGTGTGGGTGTGTGGGGTGTGTGTGGTGTGTGGAGTTGTGTGGGTGTGTGTTGGGTTTGTGGGTGTGTGTGGGGTGTGTGTGGGGTGTGTGTGTGTGTGTGTGTGTGTGTGTGTGTGTGTGTGTGTGTGTTGGGTGTGTGTGTGTGTGTGTGTGTGTGTGTGTGTGGGGGGGGGGGGGGGGGGGTTGTGTGGGGTGTGTGTGGGTGTGGTGTGTGTGTGTGTGTGTGGAGTTGTGTGGGTGTGTGTGGGGTTGTGTGGGGTGTGTGGAGTTGTGTGGGGTGTGTGGGTGGGTGTGGGGTTGTGTGGGGTGTGTGGAGTTGTGTGGGTGTGTGTTGGGTTTGTGGGTGTGTGTGGGTGTGTGTGTGTGTGTGTGTGTGTGGGGGGGGGGTTGTGTGGGGTGTGTGGAGTTGTGTGGAGTTGTGTGGGGTGTGTGTGGGTGTGTGGGGTGTGTGGAGTTGTGTGGGTGTGTGTGTGGTGTTTTCTATCTTACTAATTTTCAACAAGTTTCATTCATTCAGTTTCAGCAAACAAACGTCTTCTGCCTGATCAACTGTAAAAACTTCTAGCAATTGTTACATCTCTATTAAGAATCTTTGAATTTCATTGGTTAATGTATATCACTTGACAAAACAATAAATTTTAATGCTAACCTGACAATAGAAAACTGACACGTGAATGTATGGTCAAATCACATGACAGACACTGACTGTGAATATTGACTACATGATGACTATATTGACCTGTAACGTGATCAATATTGATTTCATTAGAAAGCTGCCTAGCAGCCTATGCTCATTGTAAGAAGGTGGCCCAGTCGTCTAAGGCGCCACGATTCACTGTGCAGCGTTGCGTCCCTTGGGCACGCCAGAAACCTATGATTGTGGGTTCGAATCCTGGTTCGCCTCAATTATGTTTCTAGGTTTGTCAGCACCATACCCGTGCTCGTGGGTTTCACCGAAGTGGTAAACGTCTGAAACCTGCATCACTTTGGGCTTTCCTCCCACATTAAGCTGACATGACGTGATATGACTTGAATACTATTAAAAGTGGCGTTAAACCCAACTCACTCACTCACTCACTCATTGTAAGAGGCGTCGACAGTGATACATTGGTTTGTTTGTTTGTTGTTTAATGCCACACACAGCAATATGATGACAGTCTATAAGTGAACAAGTCTGGAACAGACAATCTGGTGATTGACATCATGACACTGATCCATGAGACAGCACACAGTGAAGCAGTGAAGCAGTGAAGCAGTGAAGCAAGTTTTGTTGGTTTGTTTGTTGTTTAACGCCGCTCTCAGTAATATTCCAGCTATATGAAGGCAGTCTGTAAATAATTGAGTCTGGACCAGACAATCAAATGATTGACATCATGAGTATCGATCCACGCAATTGGGATAAGATGACATGCATCAACCAAGTCAGCGAGCCTGACCACCAGATCCTGTTAGTCGCCTCTTACGGCAAGCATAGTCGCCTTTTATGCCAAGCATGGGTTGCTGAAGACCTATTTTACCCCGGATCTTCACGGGTCCAGTGTAGCAAGTCAGTGAGCTGGACCACCTGACCCCTTAGTGGCCACCGATGACCAGCACAGATTGCTGGGGTCCAATTCCAACCCTAAATCACTAAATTACTTTTACTATTTTTATGTGAATTGTTTGATAGGGATTTCTAAGAAGTTGACGGATGACAAAGAAGACTTCATTTTACTGTAATTTCACTATTATAGTAAAATAAAGAAGTTTTTATCCTTACATTGTGTCTACTTTTATGTGTATGATTCATATGCTGTTGCTGCAGGACTTTTGTTCTTGATGACGAGGATTCATAACATCATCATCGTCTACATACATATGGACTCCTGCTCTTGAAGAGAAGGTTAACTTTATCTCCAAACAAGTTTCAGATTTATGCAGTAATGTCAAGTGAGTTAGTCTGACACAGGTAAAAACAAAACAACACAATTTCTGATGAACACAAACTTGGGGTTAGTGGAACAATCCTGCTTGGTGCTATTTCTCAGAAGTGAGTGAGTGAGTGAGTGAGTGAGTGAGTATGGTTTTATGCCTCTTTATGAAATATTCCAGCAATATCATTGCGAGGGACATCAGAAATGAGCTTCACACATTGTACCCATGTCGGGGATCGAACCCTGGTCTTTGGCGTGATGAGCGAACGCTTTAATTACTGGGCTACCCGACTTCTCAGAAGTATGATAATTTGATTAGAAAAATAATTCGTCCAAAATAAAAAAAGTCTCCATTTAAATATGATCAATCCGAAGCAGACAGCCAGTCACAAAACAGAGCTCAACATTTACGCTGACATTATTTCACATTATTTATATCCAACCTTCTGGCAAAGACAGGTCAAAAGAGACAAATCCAAAAAACAACACCATACCAATGAAAATTTAATCATTTGGGGTGCTAAAATCTTGTAAAAATTGAGACATGTTTAATACATGTTACCTAGAGACGAAATTAATACCCTCAAGTGCTGAGATCCTCACTAATATATAGTGGACTGTTGACAAGGCTTTGAAACACAAGCAAGCATGGGTGGACATTTGTGTCCCTTCAAAGCAATCATCTAACAATTGGATACTGCATTCAAACATTGGTTGTTTGTTGTTTTACACTGCAGTCGGTAATATTCCAGCTATATGACGGCGGCCTCTAAATGATTGGATTGGGACCAGGCAATTCTGGAATGAATATTGTGAGCAATGTTCAAAATCTTTGGGGTACGATGACATACCATCAACCAAGACACAGAGTCTGACCACTTGTCAGATGTATGACATCGCCTCCGACAACCAGCATAGGTTGCTGGGGACCTACTCCGGCCCGGATCTTCATGGGTCCAGAGTCTGACCACTTGTCAGATGTATGACATCGCCTCCTACAACCAGCATAGGTTGCTGGGGACCTACTCAGGCCCTGATCTTCACGGGTCCAGAGTCTGACCACTTGATCCATGACATCGCCTCCGACAACCAGCATAGGTTGCTGGGGACCCACTCCGGCCTGGATCTTCACGGGTCCAGAGTCTGACCACCTGATCCATGACATCGCCTCCTACAACCAGCATAGGTTGCTGGGGACCTACTCCGGCCTGGATCTTCACAGGGTCCAGAGTCTGACCACTTGATCCATGACATCGCCTCCGACAACCAGCATAGGTTGCTGGGGACCTACTCCGGCCTGGATCTTCACAGGGTCCAGAGTCTGACCACTTGATCCATGACATCGCCTCCGACAACCAGCATAGGTTGCTGGGGACCTACTCTACCCGTGAATCCCAAAGGTCTAACTGCCTAGCTTCGTTATCTTCATGATGGATGTGGTTGAGTGAGTGAGTTTGGTTTTACGCCTTATTTAGCAATATTCCAGCAATATCACGGCGGGGGACACCAGAAATGTGATCGACTTTGAGAACAAATCTAATGTATTTCTTTGCACATGCAAGCATCACTATGTATAACCAACCTGAAGCATCAAATGTCGTAGTTTTGAATTTTGGTAATACTTTACAAAAATATAGATTAAACAATTTGAAAATAATTATTTTGAATGTTCCAACTGGTGTTTGATCCCAAACATTGTTTCTCACAACAAAATAAACTGTTAGTGTTACAACACAGTTGTTGTGTTATGTCAAGTTTATCAAACATTTTCCTCGTGAGTCAAACTTCTGAAATAGGTTTATTCAGTTCCATGAAACTTCTTGTCCAACATTGATCTAGAACGTTAGTTTCATCTTGAACCCACACTAAATAAATTATGTGAGTTGTAAGATTTCTGTGATTTGCTGTCAAACTCATTTGAAATTGTTATGTGCTATTAAAGCAAAACCTGTTAGATCATTCTGTGATCAGAACTAAACATGTTAGATATTTTCTGTGATCTAAATCAAACATGTTAGATATTTTTCCGTGATCTAAATCAAACATGTTAGATATTTTTCCGTGATCTAAATCAAACATGTTAGAAAACTTCTGTGATCTAAGTCATACACAGAGTTACGAAAATGTCTGTGACCTAAAACATTGTTAGACTATTTCTGTGTCCAACACTCAAACATCGAGTCAGGAATTGTGATCTAAGGTCACACACGAGGACATCAAGGGAGGTAATGCACTGGTTAGAAGAACACATAGACTCACCCTGGAATCGGCAATCGGCTAGAAAACAAACGCCAACCAAGATTACAAATATTGCACAGACAGTCACACATCGCAGAGACACAGGTCAGAGGTCACGAAAAGAATACAATCGCATGGACACACGTGTGAGAACAGTTGTTAACTGTATACACACACAGACAGTGAGAACCTTGCGGAGAATAGTTCAGGTTTACATGGCACTCCACAACAGGAGAGTCGAGTGTCAAGGAACATTTCAATGAAAGTCGTAGTTGAGATGAGAGTGTGACAGCGGTTGATAACGCAGCAACAGATTGAGTGAGTGAGTTCAGATTTATGGTGCTTTTAGCAATATTCTCACATTATCACAGCAGGGGACACAAGAAATGGGCTTCACACATTGTACCCATGTTCAGCACCAACCCAGGAAGAGTGAACGCTGTAACCACTAGGCTACCAACACTGTTAACAAACTCTTAACTGCCCAAACTGCTGTTCAAAATTTATGGTTTTGAAAATTAACAAGAAAATTGAAGTATTTCTGTGAATACCACCACCATCACACAACCCATCACACTGTAGGAAACTTGTTGACAACACAGATGTACATGTATCATGAACCAATAGGCCACACTAATAGTTTCAACAACTGACAATGTTCTTGTAAATGTAAATGCTAGAACATTGCAAACCCTTCTGAAGTTTACCTTTGTAATGGAAATGTATTGCAAAATATTGTTTCCAGCAAAGACATGCTATCAAGCATTGATAAACATCCGAATCAGAACTGTCACTTTGATTGCAGATGAGGTAGAGATAAAAAGTATAGTTGTTGAATGCCTTTGAGCATGCATATTTCAATGATAAAATACCAGCATTTTGAAGAACGTTGATAATGGAACAAATGTTGAAAAGACAGAATGCAATAACATCCCAAAGAAAACAGATGAGAGAAAACGTTTACTGAATATTTTAATAATCTCCATACATCAGTCTCCCCACCCAAGGCCAACAGCCATTACTCTACAGAGTGAGTGAGTGAGATTTTACACCTCTTTTAGCAGTATGGTACCAAAATGGCCGGGCATGGATGAGATTCAAAACTTGTACCCATGTAGAAAATGAAACCTTGTTTTTTGTTAGATAAGCAAACACCTTATCCTCAAGGCTAACCTGCGGATGTTACACACTGAGGGTTTTCAAGGAACGTATTTATCTCTTTTAGTGAGTGAGTGAGTGAGTATGGTTTTACGCCGCTTTTAGCAATATTCCAGCAATATCATGGCGGGGGACACCAGAAATGGGCTTCACACATTGTACCCATGTCGGGAATCATACCCGGGTCTTCGGCGTGACGAGCGAACGCTATAACCACTAGGCTACCCGACCGCCCCATCTCTTTTAGACATACTGCACCAACATTAAGCATCAGACATTCTTCCCAAACATCCACCAGCTCTTTAGTTGTCTAATTTTTTGCCTCTCCTGCTCCGACTTGGGCCATCATTTCCACATATAAAGATTGAGTTCCAGCAATTTTCCAGCAATTTTTCAGAATAACGTTACCATAAATATTTTGATAATGTTGACTTCAGAGAAAGTTGCAACAGCAATTCAAGTTTTCTATTTAAAACACTTTGAAAAGCTTCTTTTTGACTTCAAAGAGTGCTTTTAACTTGAGGCTTGATACCAAAAAAAGTATCTATTTTTGTGGAGTTATTGAATATTTTTGATCACGTTAAATGTTAAAAGACTTTTAATTAAATGTCACAATCCATCACTGTGCTCTTGACTTTATTAATACTCAAACAGAATAATATTTTTTTTATACATTTGAAAAGACATTTTGAGACCAAGAATTGTAGCACAGTATTCGATTTAGTTTTGTCCTTTCGGTTTGAGGTAATCACAAAAGCACACAGTGGAAACTAGAAATGAACTCTTTAAGTTTCACCTGTGCTGGGATTCAAACCCTGGTTATGTCGGTAGATAACTAACACTCTTCCTACTGAACCTATGGTTGACAGATGCAGCAACAACATCTTTAAAAGATGGGAACAGAAGATGAGCAACATCAAGGTAATGCATTCAAACAGTGATTGTTTTCAATTAAACCCCCCAAAAGAATATTTACTCTTAACTCTTTCGACACCGCAGGCTGATCCACTGGCCAAAGACATGAGTCCCAAGACACTACAGGCTGGTACACCAGCCAAACCCCACAGCCAATTCTATTGAACTCAAATTTCAAACCCTTCTGCCAATTCTATTTAACTCCAATTTCAAAACCCCGCAGCCAATTCTATTTAACCCAAATTTCAAACCCTTCTGCTAATTCTATTTAACTCCAATTTCAAAACCCCACAGCCAATTCTATTGAACTCAAATTTCAAACCCCTCAACCAGTTCTATTGGAGCCAAACCTCAAAGTCCACAGTAAAGGGGGTTGCTATTGAACCCAAATCAACCCAACAACCCAAACAAAAACCACCCAGCCAATTTTACCGTTTCCAAATTCTTTGATTCCCACTTATACCACAGCACCAAGGCTTGAAGTGATTAGCTGAGCGTCTGATGTATGGAGATTAGAGAGAAATGGAGTTGTCTCCCTTACCTGGGAGGTTCCTCTGCTTCTGTCCTTTCCCCATCTAACTGGTCCGTACTGGAGGCGGCTGTGTTGAGGACTTTCGGCGGCGTCACGGGGAATGGCGATGTGTTGCCGCTCGTTATTGATACCGGCTCTGTGGAATGACCTGCATGGAAAATAACAGAAAAAATACATGAAAAAACAATCATCAATTCATACATCGAGATCCTAGTGAGTTGGATTTTAAGCCACTTTTTAGCAATATTACAGCAATATTACAGCGGCGACACCAGAAATGGGCTTCACACACTGTACCCATGTGGAGAATCGAACCCGGGTCATCAGCGTGATGAGCGAACGCTTTAACCACTAGGCTACCCCACTGCCCCTCGAGATGTCAAATGTTCCATCTAGATTAACTTTGAACAACACTGTTATCAGCTATTATCATCAGCTATGTTACTGGGAAAGTCTTAACACCCTCAAAACCACATCTTGTTTCTTTTAAAACAATAAACAATCATCAGCGATCATTGCTGACTGCTTCTACAAGATGATTCTTAAATGTCCCGTGTTTGGGTGAATCAGGTACAAGATATTGTGTCCTGTACACATACAAACTGGGAATGGATGCAAATAACTTAATCTGCAAGTCCAAAAGTATAGCTGTTTATAATGATTCAAGTTATCAACATTGCAGACAGCATGATAGACAGAGCTCACATTTTTATTCTGGTAAGAAATACATTCAAAGTTCAGGGTGTCTATTGAAGGTGTGCAACGATATGACATCAACTCAATTCTTGGAGCATGACACATTGCCGTCTGGGACTGTATTTGTGCCAAAATTTATTAAAATAAATTTAAATTAAACAAGAGTTTGCCACTAATGTGGCTATATCCCCTGCTCCTGTTACAGAATTTATGACATTATTAAATCTAAACAAACCCTAACCTGTTTTTAACCGAGGTGGAACTTGTCATGGAAATTGTTACAAAAAGAAGAGTTTAGAACCTAAGTCCATCCTCTTGCCATGGAAACGTAAAAAATAGATATTTCTAAAATTTCTAAATAGCATAACAGTTCAGCATGTACCTGACAAACCTGCAAAGTTTCATGAAAACATATTGAACGGTTTATGAGTTATGCTCCGGAAACGAACCCTACCCTCACACAACCTAAGTCCATCTTGTTGCCATGGAAATGTAAAAAATAAAAAATTCTAAAATTTCTAAGTAGCAAAAGGCACCACTTCAGCATGTACTTGACAGACCTGCAAAGTTTCATGAAAAAATATTAAACGGTTTCTGAGTTATGCTCCGGAAAAAACGTGACGGAAAGAGCCCGTTTCTATATCTATATCTATAATTATTAATTTGCAAAATGTTTTCAATTAACTGCTGAAATGTGCTCAGACCAAGGCTACCCTACACAGGATTCAAACCTCTTAAACAAATGGGATGTCATCTGCGGTGGAAACAAGTTTGTTAAGTTTCATCTACATTGTAAAAACACCCCTGGAAAAACATGCTGAACCCATGTACTGCACATGTACTTAATTGTATTACACTCTGATAACGAACCACCGAGTAAGGAGTCCTGAATTACCAAAATCAACTTTTTCAAAATGGCTGCCAGGCTGCCATATTGAACTCAGGATTCAAACCTCTTGAACGATTGGGGTGTCATCATTGGTGGGAACACGTATGTCAAGTCTCATCTTCATCGGTCCAGTCGTCTCTGAGAGGGAGATGCATGACGGATGTCAGACAAATAGGATATTACTGAAACCAGGGTCATCTAGGACTCCAAACTGAGTGCCTTTGTCAGCCAAACTTGGATTGTTGTGAAGCTATTTTTTCCTTAACTTCAGAAGTATTCTATCATAAAATTGCATTTAATGTAAAATTAAGCATTAAAGCCTCTCAGTCTGTACTGATCCTGTTATCAGTGAAATACAGGTCCCCACAACCAATCCATCACATTGGTATATATTATCATCCCTGTATTAACATCAATTCTACCATGAATTTGGATTGGTCAATCAGGGGCTATTAAATCACAATAAACCCCCTCTGATTGAAACAGCTGGTTTGACGGCCGCTTCACCGCGGAAGCTAATATTCGTAGAATGGTACTATTTTCAGTCATTGTCGGTAGGCGTATTTAAATAATTATATCTGCAATTACAGGTTACAAAATGCACAGATGCGGTTAATACAATATACAAAGGATGTGTGGCAATACATTTTGTGCAGAAAAACACGACAGAAATCAACAAAGGGAATGTATTTACGTTTTGGAGACAACAGAGAGCTTGGAATTTTGGCGCTTTTCTATATATGACTGTGACGTCATATCTTTTGCGTCACAATGAGCGGCATGACGTCATAATGGTGAAGTGCGATGTAGAGCGAAAGCCTTGCAAAGCTTGCTTTGTTTTCTTTAGGGATGCCCACCTCATGTTTGCTTACCAAGTTGCCGTGCTTATATGCTTCCAATGCCTGTCATATGTTCGATTGAAGTATTACGGTATAAACAAACTGCTTAAGGATATACAGCACCATATTTTTTTTCCGGTGATTCCGTAATTCAGATCGATAAAGGCACTCAAAACACTGAACTCAACCCATGACGCTTCACTCAGTATATTTGCTAACACCAAAGAGTTCGCATTTTATTTAGTCATGGTAGTTGCGCGTTCGGTTCCAAATTCAATTTAGCGGGGTTAAATCTACAGGTAACCTAGCTCTACATTGAAAACACAGTATGTTTATCTCCTAATTGGGAATGTTTACTGACACTTGCTGAATATCAGCCTCTGAATATATCTAGATAATCCCTGGCAGCTTTCTTCACTTTCAGTCAGGTGAGCTAAAAATGTGAGGGGAAGCATTTCATTTTTTTAAACAACTGTTGAGGCAAACGCATCATGACTGTTGAGTGATGTCACATCCGGACCGGTCCTGCCCCAATAGGAAACGGTTTTGTGTTTGGAAGAGCAGATCAGTAGTAGAATGGTCAATTTCAACCGCCGCAAATCTGCTCTATCGTATTGCTGATTTCTGATCATTGATGCATGACCATATCTTAATAATTTCATCAAAACAAAAGTTTTACACAAAGTGTTTTCTTCATCTGTAGGTGAGTGAGTGAGTTGGGTTTAACAATATTTGGGTTTGAACAATATTCCAGTTATATCTCGGCATGTCAGCCTAATGTGGGAGGAAAGCCTGAATTTATGCAGGTCTGACGTTTACCACTTTGGTGAAACCCACGAGTTCGAGTATGGTGCTGACAAACATGGAAACATAATCGGGGCGAACTGGGAATCGAACTCACAAACAAGATTAATGGCGTGCCCAAGGGACAATACTCAGCACAGCAAATTACAGCACATGGGTGACTGGGGCACCAGTGCCATCATCTGGAGGTACTTGGGGGCAAAAACATTATGTAAGGCTGGGGTGTTTTAAATACTAAACAATTTCAATTTACCTTATGTGAAGGAGATCCAGCTCAAGGTTACAGACAGACTGAGTCTGGCAGCAGTGGAGGGGTGGGGTTAAGAGCCTCTGAAAGATCAGACTGGACCGAGATGTAAGTGTGATTACGTACAGACTGAGTCTGGCAGCAGTAGAGGGGTGGGGTTAAGAGCCTCTGAAAGATCAGACTGGACCGAGATGTAAGTGTGATTATGCACAGACTGAGTCTGGCAGCAGTGGAGGGGTGGGGTTAAGAGCCTCTGAAAGATCTGACTGGACCTAGATGTAAGTGTGATTATGCACAGACTGAGTCTGGCAGCAGTGGAGGGGTGGGGTTAAGAGCCTCTGAAAGATCAGACTGGACCGAGATGTAAGTGTGATTACACACAGACTGAGTCTGGCAGCAGTAGAGGGGTGGGGTTAAGAGCCTCTGAAAGATCTGACTGGACCTAGATGTAAGTGTGATTATGCACAGACTGAGTCTGGCAGCAGTGGAGGGGTGGGGTTAAGAGCCTCTGAAAGATCTGACTGGACCTAGATGTAAGTGTGATTATGCACAGACTGAGTCTGGCAGCAGTGGAGGGGTGGGGTTAAGAGCCTCTGAAAGATCAGACTGGACCTAGATGTAAGTGTGATTACACACAGACTGAGTCTGGCAGCAGTGGAGGGGTGGGGTTAAGAGCCTCTGAAAGATCAGACTGGACCGAGATGTAAGTGTGATTACACACAGACTGAGTCTGGCAGCAGTGGAGGTGTGGGGTTAAGAGCCTCTGAAAGATCAGACTGGACCGAGATGTAAGTGTGATTACGTACAGACTGAGTCTGGCAGCAGTAGAGGGGTGGGGTTAAGAGCCTCTGAAAGATCAGACTGGACCGAGATGTAAGTGTGATTACGTACAGACTGAGTCTGGCAGCAGTAGAGGGGTGGGGTTAAGAGCCTCTGAAAGATCAGACTGGACTGAGATGTAAGTGTGATTACACACAGACTGAGTCTGGCAGCAGTGGAGGGGTGGGGTTAAGAGCCTCTGAAAGATCAGACTGGACCGAGATGTAAGTGTGATTACACACAGACTGAGTCTGGCAGCAGTAGAGGGGTGGGGTTAAGAGCCTCTGAAAGATCAGACTGGACCGAGATGTAAGTGTGATTACACACAGACTGAGTCTGGCAGCAGTGGAGGGGTGGGGTTAAGAGCCTCTGAAAGATCAGACTGGACCAAGATGTAAGTGTGATTACACACAGACTGAGTCTGGCAGCAGTGGAAGGGTGGGGTTAAGAGCCTCTGAAAGATCAGACTGGACCGAGATGTAAGTGTGATTACACACAGACTGAGTCTGGCAGCAGTGGAGGGGTGGGGTTAAGAGCCTCTGAAAGATCAGACTGGACCGAGATGTAAGTGTGATTACACACAGACTGAGTCTGGCAGCAGTGGAGGGGTGGGGTTAAGAGCCTCTGAAAGATCAGACTGGACCGAGATGTAAGTGTGATTACACACAGACTGAGTCTGGCAGCAGTGGAGGGGTGGGGTTAAGAGCCTCTGAAAGATCAGACTGGACCGAGATGTAAGTGTGGATTTACCCACCATGAAAACAAAGTGACAAAAATGGATGATTCCAAAATCCAACAAAACATAAAAATTGTCCTTTACGAAAGGGTGTGACCTAAACAGTTATTTCAGATTG